CATCCCTATTTGTTGCCCAGCTCTCAGATGCATAGGCGACTGGAAAGACCAAGGCTTGAGTCAGGCACACCTAAGTCTTTAAGCTGACATCATTGCTCCTCAGGACTTTGGCAGGCTTTCCCAGTGCTACAGTATACGCAATACTCAGTGCACCATTCTCGCAGCTACGTTGGGCCCACTGCTGCAGCCACGGTGCCAATCCATGCTGCACCAGGCTTTCTTTTTTCACTGACCTTCTGTCATGCCAAATATAATGTCCTTCTCCAGGAACTGGCCTCTCCTGACAATTGCCCAAAGGACGTGAGACGAAGTCTTGCCATTCTACTTCTAAGGGGCAGCACTTCTTCCAAAGCAGATTTGTTTGTCTTCTGGCACGCCGTGATATATTAAATCTTCTGTGCCAGCACCACAGTTCAGACACCAATTCTTCTTCCACCTTCCTTTTTCACTGTCCAACTTGCACATGCAGACGAGGTGACTGAAACTACCATGGCTTGGTCAGGTACACCTGAGTCCTCAAAGTGACAGCCTTGCTCTTTTAGCACATCAAAGGGATCCTTGGCAGCAGATTTGCCCAATGCAACACGCCTTTTGCTTTCTTGACTGCTGCTTTGGCAAGCCTTTGGGAGGCTGATTTTTTCTCAGGACAGTGCAGGTGTGCTGGGTGGTGGGATTAGGGAATCAGCCGGAACCATCTGGACAGAAAGAAGCTCATCCTCTGATGACTGCAGGAGAGGTCTGGTGCAGACGTGCTGCGGGGCTGGTGCGGGGCACCACTGAGCAACACCAGGCTGGACTGCAAGCTAGCTCTGCAGATGACCCCTTGTCTCACGTGATGTTCCTATACAGGCCGATCTCAGGGATGTTGCAGGTTCAATTCCAGATCCCTGAAGTACAGGCAATTCCACCATCAAGTGAATGGAATGGATTCCTTGGTCTCCCAGGACACTTTTAAGTGCCAGCAATGCACTGAGGTGTGGCTGCGATCTGACAATCACAAGATGGGTCTGTGAAACAGACCCCTGCGCACAGAGCCCCCACATTCCAGGGGGGCTGAGACAGCCCCTCACAGCCTGCTAAGATCAGGCTTCCTCTTCACCGCTCACTTTATCGCCGTCTGCAAAGTTGTCATCAGGTGCGCCAAGTCCACTCTGACTAGTGGTGACCCTGTGAAGAGCAGATGTGAACCTCGCCCTACGCTGTGCGGTCCTCCCCTCCTCCCCACGCTCAAGCCACTGCTGTGTCACTGTCCGTCCGTCTCGTTGAGCATCGTCCTGTCTTTTGCTGTCTGCTTTCCTCAAGAACTAGCCCCTCCTGACAACACACTCCACGCTTGACGGGAGCCTCTCACCACCCTCACCTCTGGCGAGCAACCTGGCTCCCGCCTGCTCTGTCCTTTTAGCAGTGTGCTGTTTAACGCCCCCCGTCATCACCACGTTCAAACGCATCCACTCAGATGCACGAATCTGACCCATAAATACAAAACAGCAACAACAACAAGCTATACAACAAAATGTGAACAGTGATCCCTTCAGGATAAAGGATGAGGAACCACGTTACAACTTCTAAAGTTCTGTTATCACTCCACTGTATTAAGTGTGCAGTAACACAGTGAACAGCCTGGGATCTTGTGAGAGTGACAGGATGGGACACAGGGACAGGAAGTGAGCACATGCTGTTGGAAACACGGCTCCCATGAACTTGACTGACAGAAGGTGTCACCCTCTCCACTGGGGAACAATGCTCTGGCTGGGAGGTGCAAGAAAACGAGGTGGGCCTCTTATGCATCTTTGACATTTCCCATCAAGAAGTTCAAACCAACTGAGAGGTAAGCTGGAAGTAAGGCCTGGAGATCTGCTTCTCAAGGGTCACAGCCATGGAAAACCCAAAGAAGCGGCTCCACTTGGCACACATGTGACTGCCAGGGGTTGGTGCCCACTCAGAGCTACTCAGTGTCCCAGGGTCATGTGGGGTCAGAGAGGAAGGTGGAAATTCAGATGTTCGGGATACAGCTGCCTGGGCTGGGAAGTCAGCAAAGACAGCGAGGAGGTGGTGGGAACAAACATCAAGGAGCACAAAGGGCCCAGATGTGAGAGGACCTCTCAGAGACAAAGGTGACAAGGGCAACCTGGGGCCTGGAGGCTGACCAATCAGGTAAAGATGTGAAGGAGGAAGGAGGGAGAGAGAGGAGGGAAGGGCAGCTCAGAGCTGTAACTTCAAGTCTAGACACGCAAAGGGCCTGGGGGTCCTGCTACCTGGCTCCACCCAATCCTCCCTCAGAGGATTCATGCTAAATGTTAAGTGTATTTCTGTACTTCTTTTATTTTGTTAACTCTCCTTTTAAAGCAGGTAATTCCTGTTCCTTCCTCAGCACTGTCCCTGGCCGTGTCATTCCATTCATAGGAGGTGTGAGAACAGCCAGGACTCATCAATACTGGGAAATGGCAGGATTAATTGAAAATGACAACAGGCAGACCTGATCAATGAATGGCTGGAAGAGTGGTGACTTGGGGGCAGATCTGGGACAGGGGATACAGGGAGGTCCCCGCTGGGGTGACGGAACATTCTCTAGACCCATTAGAACATTGTTGCTGTTGCTGGATGCCATGGGTCAGCTAGGACTCTCGGCGACCCTGTCAACTACACGCCTGCACCCTGCCCCGTCCTCAGCATCTGACATGCTCCAGTCCATGGTTACAGACGCTGTGTCGGTCCATCTTGTTGAGGGGCTTCTTCTCTTTCTCTGACCCTCCACCTTTCCCAGCATGATGTCTTTTTGCAATGACTGGCACCTCCTGGCAACGTGCCCTAAGTATGTAGACTATCCTCGCCTCTCAGGAGCACCCTGGTGGCACCTCCTCCAAGAGAGACTTGCTTGTTCTTTTGACGGCCATGAGATACTCAGCACTCGCCTCCAAGCACGGCTCAAAGGCATCGATGCTGCTGCTTCTGTCTTCTTTATTTACCGTCCAACTTTCAGATGCATAGGACGCCAAGTCAAAAGACCTGTGGCTTGCATCGGGCTGCATCTTTAAAGGGACACGGTTGCTGTTTAGCACTTTGGAAAGGCCCTTAACAAATCACACCAACCTAACAATTCTTGATTTCTTCACTTCTGCCACCACGGGTGTTGATCCACGTTCAGTCTCTTCTGCATCTTTCATGACTGGCCCAGCGGTGAGGACTCTCATTTTATTGATGTTGAGATGTAATCTGTATTGAAGCCGGTTGCCTTTGACCTTTCTTAGTAAGTGATCGAGGAGATGGGTGATGGTCCTTTCCACAGTCATCTGAGCCACTCGGTGAAGACCAGGGCAGGTTAGTGTGTGGCTGAGACCTCAGTAACAAAGTCAGTCCCGCACTGCTGTGGGAACACCAATTCAAGCCCAGGTTTTACAGAGCTGCTCAGCTAGAAATTCCACCTGCTTAGCCTTCCTTCCACACTTTCTTCTGCTGCTTGGTGGGTGTGAACTCTCCACTTGTACGTTAGGAGTTAGGGACCTCAATACCTCAATGGAATAATTTTATTAAAAAAAAAAAAGAAAGAAGAACAGTGTAACAGCTTAGCAGTTCAGACGCTGGAGCTAGGTTGCTGAAGATGTCTCAAGTCACAGATGGGCTCCTAAGAGGATGAAGAAGGCAATGACTGTGAGTCGGTGACAGTGGGTAGCCCCAGACGCTCCACCACGTAGGGCACGTTTTCATTCTCAGGTGTGTATGTGGAAGCAGGACAAACTGTGTAAACCCTGGAGCCCAGTGGGCATCCACACCCTCTTGGTCCAGCAGTGGAACATGACACCAAGCATGGCTCTGAGCGCAGGGCTGGGGCAGGTTGTACAGCTGTTTACGAAGCCATGCGTGTCCCTTGGGCACTCAGCATTCCAGCATGGTCCAAATCTCCAACTGTGAGTCATGAGTGGACAGGCGGGAAGCTCCTCTCCATAGTGACGGATAAGAGGAGAAGAAGGAACCCTTGCTTCCTCGTTCCTTGGGGATGAGGTTACAGAGAAGCAGCCCACCTTAAGCGACCCCCAGGGGATCTGTGCTATGTGCTCACGGTGGTAACTGGTTCCACAGCCTTCTTTATGGGAGCTCCTTCCGTACCCCCTTCTCTAACGGTGCGTCTGAGACTCCCTCCCACACGAACTCCTTGCACTCAATCCCAGCCTCAGGCTCCGCTTCTGGAGAAGTCAGGCAGACAACGGAAAAGACTAAGCTCTGTGAAGTCAGCATAGCAGTGCAGAAACTGAACATAAAAATGCATGCCAAGCCCCGCGCTGTGCGTAAGACAGTGGGGACACCAAGAACTTAATGTTATTGGAAAAACAACAAAGCTTCCCATCCTAGAGACGCATCAGAACCTCAATTTTACAGAAAACAGTGCCCTGTGAGGGTCCCACAGCTGGCAAGGGGCAAGGCCAGAACTCAACAGTGTATGAAGTTGAGCTGGTATCTCTGCCTTTAAAGGCCCTTGTCTTAAATCTGCCCCAAAACATGACTCACAGTTCATTACCGAGGATCTTTATTTATGTGCAAAAAAGAAGTTAGAAACCACTTTTTGGACTGTTTTCGATTTCTGTAAAATAACTTGTAAAAAAATCACGTGCACGCCCTTTAAAAGAAGTTCTAGCTTATGTGTCTGTACACCACACCGTGGGCAGGCGGGGTGCAGGGTCGTGATTCCAGTGGGGCACGTCCGCCAGCCTGTGCCAAGGTCCCCTCTTGTCCCCATCAGGGTCCACAGGAACGTGGGCAGTGACACCTGCTCCGCTCAGGGGGCCTTGGAAGCATGGTTCTGGAAGTACTAAGGAGGGTTCCTGGCTCACGTGGCCACTCTTCAGTGTCACCACTCGGCGCGTGCGTGCTTCTGCTTCCCGCTCTGGCGCATGCGCGCACGTGTGCACCGACCACCACTGTCCCCGGCAGCTGCATCCCTGGGGACATTTGGACCATGGAGCGCAGAAGCGCGCGCGTGGAAAACTCCTCAGGGCGCGCCCTGCTCATGCGTCTGGTTCCATTTCTCCATCATCCATGCACGAGCCCGTCTCATCCAGCCAGTCTAGAAAACAGAGGAGTGACACTGGTGGGTGCCCAGCACGTTTAGAGCCCTTCCCAGGGGGCTTCAGACCATCACCTAGAGCTGCCCTACATCGAGATCGGGGTCTTTTTTAATGTTCTATAAAAATGCAAATTTTTACAATTATGAAAAGGTACTTTGAAGTAACAAATGACAGTACAAACTTAAAAATTTGGGCTGAAACCAGCAAGCAGCAGACTGATCTTTGAAGTTTTTTTTGTTGTAAGTTTTCCCAAGTTTGTTCATTCTTCTTTCCCTCTGATTCATTAATGGTGGTTTTACTGGGTGCTGAGACACCTCCCAAAAAACCCTCCAGTGCCCTGGAGTCGATTCCAACCCTCCATCAGGTTTGGAGCTGTAAACTTTTATCTGTAGAGAGTGCTGTCTCCCATCTTTCTCCCCAGAGCACCTCGAGGGCTCAAACCACTGACCTTCGGGTTAGCAACACACCATACAATGCACGGTGCCACCAGGGCTCCTTGTTGGGTGCTGAGCAGGCCCCTATGACAGCAGCCTCATGGGAATTTCCCAGGGGCACCTCTGCCCAGCTCTTCCTGGCCTGTGGCTGGGGATCCTGGGACTCTAAGGCACCCTAAAACACGCGGTTCAAATCCACCAGCTGCTGTATGGGAGAAAGACGAGCAATCTCTTTCCATGAGATCTGCAGCCTCAGAGAGCTCCCTGGAGGGCCAGCTCTGAGGATTCGTTTCAGGGCAGACAGCAGCCACCAGGTTCCGCTTTACCTTCGACCCTCTGGGTGGGGCCCCAGGGCCTCTGCTGCCCTCTCCTCTCTCTTTCATAGGGAATTTGTTTAGGAGGACAGCACAACCATGGTGTGGGCACTGGCCCAGGCTTTATACTTCACACCTCGCTTTGGTACCACTGCCATCTCCACCTTACAGGCTGGGAAACTGAGGAAGATGATGCTTGTGCTCAAAACCACACCGCTGACAGGCAGGAGGCCTGGGATTTGAACTCAAGACACCTGCCTCCCAAGCTGGTACCATCCGCGTCTGAATTGGGGTGCTGGAGAGGTGGGTGGAGCCCTGAGGGCGTTCCGAGGAGCAGAGGGAGCTATTTAAGCTTGGAGAGTCCGAGCCTGCAGACCTCAGGGGCAGGGGCAGGCTCTGTTGACTAATGTTGGCCTCTCCAGGGTCTGGGGATTCTCCCAGAGGAAAGGGGGCCACTGTGACTTTGCAGAAGCACCAGAACCCCATTTTCTAGACAAGAAAACTGAGGCCAGGGGAGGAAGGAAAGTTCCTGGGATTAGACATGGGCAGGTGTGCAAAGCGCACCGACAAGAAGCCCACCCACTCTCCTTTCCTTGCTGTGAGCCCTGGAGTGAGTCACTGCCCCTCCCTGGACCACTATGTCCTCATCTGGGAAGCAGAGGTAAGGATGGTGCTCTGAGTTCACAGGCCATGAGGCTGGACCGTCTGGAAGTCCCTTCACCCAGTGTCTGGCCCCCAAGAGGCCACCAGGGAGGGTGAGGCCATCGGCCTAGTCTAGAGAGGTCCAGTCTCTTCCTCCGGGGTTCTCCAGTCCCATAGGGAGCTGGCACTCAGATTCAAGACTTCTGAAAAGTCTGTCCACCTTAACGTGCCACCACCTCTACCCTGACACGGCACTGCGGGGTCCCAGCGGGGACCATGTGATCTGGCTGGCTAATACTCTGTGCTGGATGGCCGCTGGCCCCAGGATCCCCAGCATGAGGTCAGACCACACCTGTGACTGTCAGCTGCACAGCAGGAGCACTCTGAACCTCAGTTCACCATCCATAGAGGAGAGTTCAAGTGCAGACTGAGTGAGAAGCAGTGCTCACTGTCCTTGACCTGTGCCTACTACAAGGAGCCTGTGATGGCCGTGAGTCCCACAGTGGCCCAGCCCTGGGCCCAGGCCAACCACATTGATCTCCGCTCAATTCAGTGAATGGATGGACAGTTGTCCCACAGAGGGGGCTTGGGGACAACTGGTCTGGAGCACTCTGCTGCTCCCTCGCAGGGCTCACTCAGAAGGTGCTGGGTCCGGTCCAGGCCCGGCAGGGCTGTTTCCACGCCTGCCCCGTCCAACCAGAACCACCTTGGCCAACAAGATGGAGCGCCGGTCCACGGGGCTGGCAGGCAGAGGCGCATCCATCAATTACCTCAGCTGGCGGGGCAGCGGCGTGGCGGGCCAGCCCGTCCCATCCATCACGGCTCCTGGCTGCCGGCAGGGGCTGTCTAGCTAATTACCTAACATGCTACAGGCTGCTGTGCGGCGGGGAGCCACAGTGGAAGGTACACAGAGCCCGATGAACCTGTCCTAGACCTGGAGAGGGGCCCCCAGCCGGGCCGCCGGGCCTCTCCCCGCACTCGGGGTGGGGGGCGCCTCACCTGCCTTCCGCGAGTCTCTTGACAGCGTCATGCTCGTGGGGGTCGGGGGTGTGATGATGATATTGGGCACATCCAGGTGCTTGTCATTCAGCACGGGCGCCTCCTCGTGGCTGCTGCTGCTGACACACATTTTAAAGCCTGAGAGGCAGGCGTGGGCCACACACACACACACACACACACACACACACACACACAACAGAAAAACAACCATCAGTGGCTGCTGGCTGCCAGCCACCCCTTTCCCTCCCTCTGCCATCACTCTCTGGTCCTCAGTGGGGAAACTGAACTTCAGGGAATGTCAGTGACCCCAGCTTGCTGGCCTCAGTGAGGGCAGGGGTCACCATTTGCCTTTTGTCATTTTTTTCTCCCCCCATATGTGAAAAGGCAATAGATCACTCGCATGTACGGCATTAACTGCAGTCCTTGTATTATAGCAGCACTCCTCCACCTCCCTCACTGTGATTCCCCTTTTCACTACAATGCTGACTTTGTCGGGGGCTCTGACAGCCTAGTGGGTAAGGACCTGCACTGACAACCCAAAGATTTGAATCCACCAGCTGCTCTGCAGGAACAAAGATTGTCAATCTCCTCCTCTGCGACTCTCTGAAAACTGGAGGGCCAGCTCTGGGTGGATTCCGATTCAGCAGCGGTGAGCAGTGCCCATGACCAGTGATGCTGATGTGGTGCCTCCAGAGGCGTCAGACAGGCAGTAAACCAAACTGACCCCATGCTGAAGAGGCACGGCGACCCTCCTGGTTACAGAGTAGGAGTGCCCCAGAGGGTCTTCTTGGCTGACATTTTACGTAACAGATCTCCAATCCATTCTTCCACAGCACCACTGGGTGGCTTTGAACTCTCAACCCATAGATTAGCAGTTGGTTGTAAACTATTCATGCCATTCAGAGACCTACTGGCACACAGTAAGTGCGTGCTGGGGGGTGGGGGCAGAAAAGACTCCAGCCATTAACTAAAAGGTTGGTGGTTCAAACCCTCCAGGCTGGTCTGAGCACAGGTCTCTCTGCCTCCAAAGCACACATGATGTTACAGCGCCCACAGGTTATCTCCGAGGAGGAGGCTCCTGCAGAGGGAGGGCTACTGCCGCTGACAGAGAAGAGCCACGCCGCTGGTGGGCTGTGCCTTCCGGACCTGGGCCCTGCACTGCAAACGCTCCAGGTGCAGCGGAAGCCTAGACACACGGAGACTCCTAACGGACGCAAAGCCATAGGAGCTGAGGACCTTCCTGTTAGATGGTGAACCAACAGAGAAGGTCGTCCTTCAGAGCTGACGCCATCAATCTGCATCACTCTGGAGACTAAGGTGTGCTTGACACAGGCCACGGTCTTTGCAATCACTTATTATGCATCAGAGAGTTGGACGATGACTAGGGAGGATAGAAGGAGAATTGATGCCTTTGAGCTGTGGTGCTGAAGAGTTTTGAATGTACCATGGACTGCCAAGAAAACAGATTCATCCTGGAGAAGGTTAAACCAGGCTGCTCCTTGGAGGCAAGGATTCTGGGGCTTCGTCTGACATACTTTGGGACATGTTGTAAGGAGAGACAGGTCCTT